AGGGAACCGATTCATCAAACGTGACGTCCTGAGAGGGCAGGACACGGCGCGAGGTGTGGTGGTTAAACTGCCAGCCAGGCGCGTCAAGAGGAAAGCCAAGGAAGATGCAGGGAATGGCGCGGGAGGAGAGCTTGTCCGAGGAGGTATCGCGAACAAAGGCACGACAGCCCCAGAACCAGAACATCGACGTATCGCCAACCTCTCCCGTCCAACGCAGTGTAGGCGAGGCCTCCGGCAAGGAGATACGGGGCCAGAGGTTGAGCTGATGCGCGGCGTACCATATCGCAAACGGCCACAGAAAAAGGGGAGCAGCCGCATGGATCATGGAGGTACGAGCAACCTCCATGATTAAACCAATGCGGTGCTCAACAACCCCATTTTGTTGCGGGGAGGCCAGAAGCGTGAACGACTGGAGGATGCCCTCCCCACGACAAAAGTCCCGCAAGAGGTCGGAGGAGAACTCACCACCTCTGTCAGAGTGAAGACGCAGAACAGGAAGGTCCTCACGGAACCACTCGTGGAGCTGGAGACGGAGTGCGCGGATCCAAGGGATCAAGAAATCAGAGACCTCACCCTTGTTGTGCAAGGGGAAGACCATGGTGTAACGTGTGTAGTTGTCAACAACCAGCAAAAAGTAGCGCTTGCGGCCCTGTCTACGGACGCGGGCTGCGCCCCACACGTCCATGTGGAGAGTGTGTAGGGGAGCAGCCGTCGGGGGAAATGAGGAGGAGTGAGGAGCGGCGCGCTGCCGCCCCTCGATGGAAGGAAGGCAGGGCGGGAGGGGAGGCAAAGACCTGGGAAGACCAGAGACAAGGAGGCGGGAGTGCATGCCACGGAGGCGTGGCAGGGAGGGGTGACCAAGGCGGTAGTGCCAAAGGAGAGTCGGGTGCGAGAGGAGGCGACACGAATAGGGGGCTGCTAGCTGACCTGACGAGGACGCAGACGCAGCTACCTGGGGAGGCTCAGTAGTCAGTGTGTACAGACTCGTCCCAGGCTGATGGGTGAACGTGGCCAGGTGACGGCTAGTCCGAGAGCACGTATAGATCGACACACGCTGTCCTCTAGGGGTAAAGGTATCTACCCATTCATTCTGAAGGACGGCGTTTCTCACCAAGCTCGAAGAGAACGAGGGGAGGTGAAGACCTGAGAGTGAGCTGGATGGAACCGCCGGACACGGGAGAACTGTGGAGGAACGTGCAAGAACTGGGCCCCCTGAGGGGTCAGCCAGTCTGACGGCAACAGGTGCAGGGAATGGTGTAACTGTGGTAATATCGCGAAAGAAACAGCGGGAAGCACCTGAGTCACGCCTGAAGGTGTGCAAGGCCTCAGCAGGCACAGTACTAGGGAGAGCAGACTCACTAGTACCTGGAGCAGCAGCCTCTATATCTGGGTCGGGCAGCATACACAGGTAACAGTCACCCTCAGCACTAACAGTCAAGGCATACATGGCAGCAAGGATAGCATCATAGTCAAAAGCAAGTATATCCACACCCTGCCTAACTAGCTCTAGCCAGCGGGGGAGCTCTGTTGCGTCGGGAAACTCTGCGCGCCAGGCGTCGTCAAGACGAGAGAAGTAGTGGGACTGTATGTGACCAACCTTCCCGCATGTCTGAGCAGCGCAGTCACATGTGCGAATGACGCACTAGCTGCGAACACTATCCCCAGACACCCCACGCTGAGCAAACCACTCACGAAGCTCCTGGGGCGTAGGGGTCTCCCGCTGACGTTGCTGCTGCTGCCTCTGACCACCGCCAGAACCTCCCCTCTGACCGGGTCCACCCGGACCGCCACCACTGCCGCCGCCACCACTCCAACTGCCGCCACCACTCCAATTGCTGCCACCACTGCCGCCGCCACCACTCCCACTACCGCCACCACCGCCGCCACCAACTCCTACACTCCCACCACCACTCCCTCCTCCACCACCGCCACCTCCACCGCCTCCACCACCTCCACCACTGCCTCCACCGCTGCCACCCCTTGCCACCCTTGCCCCTGCCGCTGCGGCACCTCCCACTAGGAACAGATGCAGCCCCGACCTCCTCAGCACGAACGAAGTCAACAGCAGCAGCAAAAGCGTAGGAGGGGGCAAGGGGGGAGGGGAACACCCCTCAAAGAAGGGAGTGCGAGGAGTGCCACGAGTAGCACCTACAACGATTATGCTAGCCTCAGCTGCAAGGAGGTGCTTCTTGAGCAGGTCGACAGTGAGGTCGGTGGGGTCCATGGCGAGAAAGAGGTCCCTGAGCGCTCTTAGAGAGTCAGGAAGGCGGGTGACGATGAATTAGAGAGCGATGTACATGGGGGGCGGGTTTTTGCCTAAGAACTTTGCTGGGAGGGCAGCGCGGTAGCGAGCGTCACTAGCGCGAAGATGCGTGATTCGGTCCTCAACTGTGGCAAAGGAGGACAGCTCGGGAAATAGGTAGGGCAGTATAAGGCAGCCGAGAGCAGAAGTGGCAGGGGAAGAGTAGGGAGTGACTACAACATCGTACAGGGCCTGAGCAGTCTTGTGCTGGCCAAATTGAGCTCGTTCGACTTACGGCAAGTTGTTGCGAACGGCTAGGCGAGCAGCAGCATCACGGGTAAGCCACTGTGAGCGAGTGAGACTGTGAGGTGTGTCAGGAGGGGCGACTGGGGAACGAGACGTGTGGTCAAACAGGGATACACCGTCTTTAGCATCGCTCATTGGGTACAGCTATAGGTCATCGAGCCATGTTTCGAACTGGATCGGGCAGCCCTCAGGATCGAACGAGAGTACGCTAAGAGTAGCGATAGCTGGATGGCGCGAGACTAGCAGGGCGGAGCGGCGTGCGGGTAGGGCAGGGCAGAGCGTGGCTAGAAAAGGCGGCGCACGGCGAGCAGGGCGGCGCGCGGGCAGGTAAGGGCGGCGCACGGGCAGCAGGGCAGCGCGCGGCCAGGCAGGGGCGGCGTGCGGGCAGGCACGGGCGGCGGGCGGCCAGCAGGGCGGTGCGCGGGCAGGCAGGGGCGGCATGAGGGCAGACAAGGGCGGCGCACGGCCAGCAGGGCGGCGCGCGGGCAGGCAGGGGCGGCGCGCGGGCAGGTTGGGGTGGCGTGCGGAGCTGCAAAGGGCGGCGCGCGGGCTGCAGATGGGCGGCGCGCGGGCTGCAAGGGGCAGGGTGTGCGCGGGCGGCGCGACGCAGGGCAGGGCGTGCACGGGGCGGCGCAACGCAGGGCAGGGCAGGGCGCGCGCTGGCGGCTCGACGCAGGGCAGGGGGCGCGCGGGGCAGCGCGACGCAGGGCAGGGCATGCATGGGCAGCGTGATGCAAGGCAGGGCAGGGCAGGGAAGGGCGTGCGCGGGCGGCGCGACGCAGGGCAGGGCGTGGGGTAGCGCGGTCACCGCAATCGGTCACTAGCTAATGGTGGGCCCAAAAAAAACGGTCCTAAGGACCTACTGCTCTGAAACCATGTCAGAATCTAACGAGCATGAATGATTGCATTGCGTAAGAAAGTGATACAAGTACTAACCCTAATTTGGGTTGTACCCCATATGGGCTACCCCACTACAGCCTACACAATAATGTAACAGTTTGACAACAAATACGTTTGTGACACTTTTTTTTGGGACATGTCCCGTCTCGAATGTACCCTTATTGTCTGTGCCAAGATAGTCAAGCCGCTGAGTTGTAATATAGCTATTTTTCCTTCACCTAAAAAAGTGTAACTAAATGATAAATTAACATATAACCTCAACATACAAGGTAGCCTTCATAGTTTCCGTGCATTAGTATTTAGTAGCCACTTTTGTGCATCCCGGCTGATTTTTTTATGCTGAAGAATATATCTCAGCGATAAGCGAGTCCGCCCAGGGGTGCTCGCTGCCCACGGGCAAAAAAAAATAAACCCTAGAAGGGTATGCATCCGGTCAGGGGGGCATCAACCCTAAACACAGGGAGGCATGGATTTAGGGTTGATGCCTCTCTAGGATGGCATGCCATCCGATGGGGTTTTAGTTTTTTTCTGCCCAGGGCAGCATGTCGTCAAGTCGTCAACAGGTCGTCAGCCTTGACGACTCGTTTCCGCTGAGATTTTCCGCCAATAGAATCGCGAGGAGGGTTAGTGTCTTTGGTCGTATCCCCGTCAAGTGTCAAGAGGGGCTAGTGTCTTGACACCAACTCGGAGGACTATCCCTCCTGGTGTCAGCTAAACCGACCAATGTGATCGCGGGAAAACGGTCAATGTGCCCAACATTGACACCAGGTTGGAGCCGAGTTCACACGCGGCTCCACTTGGTGTCAGACGTAAACAACGCTTGACGCCAACCACTTCTTGATACTTGCGAGGGATACGACCTTACACACAGACAGACCGTAACGATGATGACGGCTTGACTCGAGAACAACACAGATGTGATGTGGCGTTGCGAAGATCCCGGGTAGGTATCTCGGAATGGGGGCACCCCAGAAAGAAAGGATTTTTTTGTTATGGGGTCATTTGGGGGCCAGCGGGCATCCATCCCATAAAGCCTGGTCAAGTGTACCTGGTCGAGAGATGGTTTAGGTGGGTACGAAGCCTACATAACAGATGAAGTTGATGGGTATGAAGTGCGATCGGCCCTGAAATGGTGCCACCCTTCCACGCCCTCTTGACCCTTCTTGACATCTATACTGTGCAGTGCGCCCAATATTGCTTCCGCTGCGCCTCCTAACTCCCAGCCCGAGCCCGCCCATTCGCCACCACCAAAACCACAGATGCGCCTGTGAAATCAACCCAGCCCCACCCATTCCCCCACTCTCCTCTTCCCCGCCCTACCATCTCCCCCACTCTCCCCCGCACCCCCCCGGCCTCCTCTGCGCCAGCCGAACCACCGTGCCCCGCGTTCGAGAACATACTGCATTTCACATTGGCTTCCCTGTTCCTCAGATCTCATCCGCATTCACCCCAATAACTCTCACTCGCTCGCTCCCTTCGATTCGCAATTCGCCCCATTTCGATTGGAGCCTCGCGCACCTCAACTGCCCTGCAAGGAATGGCGGCTACGATCATGGCCAAAGAGGTACACTGTACTGTGCTGTGCATGCAGCTCACGCCTGTCCTGCCTTCCGTGCGCACTAGAGTTTCACAGTATCTTTCGTTTTTTCTTGTTGCCAGCAGCACAACCCGCACTCGAATTCAAATTCCACCCTGAATTGTGGCTGACCTTGAAACAACACCTTCAAAATTACCTCGTCATCTACTTCCCGCCATTCAAGATGTCACTTCCATCAACTAGAGCTCCTCTTTCGCGGGGTCACCCCCTCTGTGCGCGCGCGCGCCAAATTGCAGGCGACGCCCGCGGCAGTGGCGGCGATTCAGACGCATTTCAAAGGCGCAGTGGAAGAGACGGAGTTTATCGACACAGTCGCTGCGAAACTGCGGGAGCACGGCTTTAAGAGGTAACGTGACTTGAGAGCCCCAATTCTTTGACATTATCACGTCGTTTGGTACTAATTCTCTGTCTCTGCCATTTGACTCATCTCCAGCGCGATGCTGCAATTCAATTGTTCGCGATAGTACTGATTCTCTTCCGTTCCTTCCTCTTACTACCCGCCACCACCAGGGACAACTGTATCGCGCTGGTGAGCACGTGTCGCGACGAGGCGTCGCGGTTGTTCGACGGGTTGGTCGACAAGCACTTCGGGCTCGTCTTCTCGCTTAACGGACTCGCCGGCGTGCCGCCCGGCGGCGTGCTCGCCGTCAAGGCCGGCACGTCGCACAGCCCGCAGGACGCGACAGGCCGCGAGCGATGTACGTGCCAGGATGTGGGTGCTTGATCGTGGGTGCTTGAATGCGGGTGACTTTTGAGTCGACTCAAACGTCGCACAGCCAGCAGGATTCCTGAAAATTTTCGCGAATGGGCGCGACGCGAGCGATGTACGCGGCGCGTGGGTGCTCGAATGCGGGTGCTGGGATATGGGTCCTCGGACATGCGGCGTTGCGCGGCGCCGCGGATGATGCAGAATGCTTGGCGAGTCATGGCCCATGCGTGCGAACGCCGCGACGAAGGAAGGACCTGCATGCTGTGAATGTGGTGAATGCCTTGCGAGGCAGACCCACTGTTCTCTACCGTGACGGTAGAGAATGCGTCGCCATCACCAGTCCGTATTCGCTTCCTACCCCTCTTTTCCACTCTGTCTTTCCTCTTTCTCCTTGAAACAGCCACTAATCATTCCCTCCCGTCTTCGTTCGTTCGTTCGTTCTGCGGCACGGCACGAGCAGACGTGTTCTTCGGCTTCACGCACATTGGCATTGACGACTCCGGCATGGCCGGTAAGATGCGCCGCAACGGGCGCGCGGCCATGTCGGGCGCGTGCGGTGCGCTGGCGGCGCTGACGGCGCAGCTCAAGGACGGAAAGGGGCTGGGGGAGGCGGACGAGGAGGACATGGAGGCTTACCTGCTCTTCAAGAAGCTGCGCGTTAAGGTCAGTTGGCGGAGAGGAGAAAGGGGGGAAAGACTGTGGGGTTGTCTGTTTCTGAGGGGCCTCACAAAGCGGAAGAGGACATGGCGGCTCACCTGCTGTTCAAGATGCTGCGTGTTTAGGGTTGACCCTTTTGAGAATTCTCAACAGAGGGGTTGACCCAAGTCAGATGATGGCCTTCCAGTTGACTGACCCAGCATTCCGTAACAAAATCTATTCCCCCACCCCCTGCCCCTACTCCCCTCCTCCCTCCCCGGCTTTCCTTCCCATAACCCCGCCCCCTGCACGCACAGGACCCGCCGGCTAACATCGTGGCCGTGACCAAGGCAGCAGTTGCTGTAATCAACGACACGCTCGAGAAGATAATCGCCAAAGTCGTGGATGCAACCAAGGCGGACTATGCCGTGTTTACAGGCGTGCAGATCCACTCCAACTGCTATCCCTCGGGCTCCACGGGCGGTGTGGCCCCGTTCAAGCTGGCCCCGTTCAAGCTGAGTGAGACGGTGGAGTATGTGTCGCCGTCGCTGGGGTATGTGGTGGTTAATGGGGTGAAGACCCCCCTGAAGCTCACCAAGGAGGTGTGAAAGGGCTTCTTCTAAGGGAGAAGGTGGAGGGGTGCGGCCCTGTGGGGTAGTGGGGAGGGATGGGGAGGTGGAGACTTGTCGCAAGTGAGTGGGTGGGACCTTGCATTGCCTTAGCTAGGTTTCCTACTTTCCATCTTTTCTGCTAGCTTATTGGAAGTGGTATAGTGATAATTTATATGGTACGGTACCTAGTACTGCACTTACGGAATTATGTGTGTAATTAGGGATGTTATTTGGTGCAAGCTGGAACGGGCTGAGTTTCATGTACCGTAACCGCTCTTGTACATTTTGTTGAAATGTACTGTAAACTAATTCTACTAAGCTGCTCCTGTGGTCGTGCTCAACAGCTTGTCTGCAAAACAAATGACACAGCAGTACCCCTCAAGATTACCGTACAAGGTAGTTTGAAGGAGAACCCAACCTGAACAAAAGCCCTAAACAGAAACCGGGAGCGAAGGCGGACTCGTAGAGAGACGGGAAGGAGGTAGCGGGGAGTGCGGGCCGAGCAGGAAGAGCAGGATGCCTCCTGCAACTGCCACATTGAGAGACTCTGCCCCCCCCGGCATGGGAATGGCCATTGGCTGGCACAGGCGCAGTGCTGTGGCTGATAGACCCTGCCCCTCACTGCCCAACACTAGACAGATCCCATGGGGTGTGGGAGACGGGGAGAGGGTCGGAGAAGAGGGAGAGGCGGGGGAGGAGGGAGGAGGAAGCGCACTGGCAGGATTAGCGGGTGTAACGTCAGGTGTGGCGGAAACTGTAGCAGCAGATGTGGCAGGAGCATCAGTAGCAGCAGCAGTAGCAGCAGCAGCAGGGTGGGCAGCGAGGAGGGAGAGGTTGTGGTGGGAGGTGAGGGAGAGGAGGTGGGACCAGTCACCGACAGCCACAGGCAGGCGAAACAACACTCCCCTTGACGCCCTCACTGCCTTGTCGTTAAACGGGTCGCAACATCCGGGCAGGAGAAACACGCCGTGCTGCCCGAGAAAAAACGAGGCGGAGAGGCGTGGAGGGAGGAGGGAGCACGGGCAGGTGGAAGGAAGATGGAGAGATGGGGGAAAGAGGCGTGCTAAGACAGAGAAAGGTGGGGAGATGATGTGTAGTAGAGAGTACAGGAAAGCTGGACCCGACTCAATCGGATGGATGGATAGTGAACTAGCATGGTTCGAGGAGTACTGGAAAGTGGGACCCGGGTTGCATGGATGCATGGATAGTGTACTGAGTGGGTGCGCATGGGAAGGTCATGCAAGCAGTAAAAGGAACAAAAACCGGGATATGTCACGTAACCTATGCCACTCGTCCCTCGTCTCTTGCATCTTTCCTCTTCCCCCCGCCCCGGGTTTAAGGTCTCACTCACCCAGTCAAACGCCAGGGCCGTGCGCAGCAATGTGCCCAGATTGCCTGGGTCCTGGAGAGGCCACAGACAGGGAGACGACAGGCAGTGAGGGAGCATTGCCAAGACAGGTCACAAGAGATGGAAAGAGGGAGGTATTGGTGATTGCGTGCGTGTGTGCATGTGTGTGAGCACGGATTACACACAGAGATATGTGTGCCACCGCTGTACGAGTCACAGCAAGTTACCGGTGAAAGTTGCCAGAAAGTTGCCAGAAGTTACCAGAGAAAGTCATGAGAGCGGGATTCCAGAGCTGATTACCTGCACGCCATCCAGCACAAGCACTCGCGACATGCCAGCTCCCCATCCTCTTCCGCCCCCCTCCCTTTCAAACCACCGCCTGCCTATGCTGTGCTCCCCTTCTGCCCCTTCCCTCCCCACTCCTCCCCCTAAGCTCCCCTTTTCCTCCCCCAACCCCCCTTCCTCTTCAACCCGTCCCTCCACAGCCCTTCCCACGAACCCCTCCACTCCACCTCTCTCCTCCCCTTCCCCGTAACCCTTCCCGTCCCAGCCCCCCCTCTCCTCCTCCCCCACCTCGTCTCCCTCCTCCTCACCACCATAACCACCACCATCACCCCCACCATCCCCACCACTCTCCAGCACTTTGAACGAGGCGGGCAGCAGCATGACAGCAGCGACAGCAGCAGCGCCCACGCTCTGCACGCCTGCCAGGCGGCTCATCACAGCAGGGGACACGTACAGCACGCGCCGAGCCACACGCACCAGCCCAGGGGGCGGGGGCAAAGGGGACTCGGATTGCACGAGTAGGATGTCCAGAGGACACTGCCCACGGCCGATGGGGCCCAGACCCCCCTGCCCCTGCGCCTCCCCCTGCGTCTCTCCCTGCGCCTCCCCCTGCGTCTCTCCCTGCGCCTCCCCCTGCGTCTCCCCCCTGCCTTCCCTCTCCGCCTCTCGGCGCCCCTCCCGCGCCGCCTCCCCCTCCCCTCCCTCCTGCGCCTGCAGCCAGGGCGCGCAGATCTCCTGCACGGGCACCTCGCCCGCCACCAGCACGCGCCCCCACGCCCTCCGCGCTGCGCTGCTCTGCCTCAGCCGCACGGCGCGCTTCACAAACGCGTTACTCACGCTCGCCACCTCGCCCACATGCAACGGCGGGTCCTGCCACGCGCCCTCCTCTTCTTTGCCTTCCACACCGCCTCTCACTCCCTCCCTCACCGCGTCTCGATCACGTGCTCTTCTCGTCCCCCCCCTCTCCTCCCCTCTCGTCCCAGAGCCTCCACCAGCCGCTGCTGCTCCCACTCGCCTCCCTGAAAACGACTCCCTCCTCATTCTTGACTCCAGATCCTCCCATTCCTCTCCAGCCTGATCCTCTCGCTTAAACCCTCCTGAATATCCTCGGGAATCGTACTCCCTGCGTCCCTCACTCTCCCACTGCTCTCCATTCCTTGAACCCTGCTTAAACCCTTCCCTAAACCTCGACCCGTCGCCTCTCCCCGCGTCGTCTCTTCTCTCTCTGAGGCCTCCGCGGTTCCTGAACCCGCTGGTGGAACCCTCGTTATAGTCACGACGAGCGCCACGTGGCACCTCGTCACGACCACGCCCCCTGTCACTATATCGAGAGCCACCATCTCGAGAGAAGGAACCCCTCTGGTCACCCCCCCGCCTATCCTGCTCAAACCTACTAAACCCATCCCGCGCCCCGGATTCCCTCCCCCCGCCCCCTCGCTCCCCCGCCTCGTCCGCATCCCACCGCCCCGATCCCTCCCTCCGCCAGTTTCGCTCCCCGTCCCCCTCCCCCTCCCGCCAATCGCCCCGTCCCCTCTCCCGCCCACCCCCCATTTTCCTCTCTCCGCGATCCCATTCCCCTCTTCTCTCCCGCCCGCTCGCGTCAAACCCCTCGTTATAATCCCGCTCCTGACGAGGGTCTCGCTCATCCTCTCGCCAGCCTCCACCGCCACTGCCACCGAACCTGCCGTCTGTCCGAGCCTGCCGCGATCCGAACCTGCTCTCCCGGTACGGGTCGTCCCGACCCTGCCATCCGTCTCTGCTATTCGAGCTGTCACCTCGAGACGCGCGTACCCTGCCAGTCTGTTTCCTCGGATCAATCGAGCTGTCGCATCGCCATCCGTCCGCGCCCGCAAAACCATGCGACACGGACGACACGTGGCGAGAACGAGCGGTGGCGGTTACACTGAAACGCTGCTTGCTTGCGTTGCTTCGACGGCGGGGCAAGGTGGATATACATGCGATCGCAATAGGCTTGCTCGCCTTACTAGCCCTTGGACACGTCAGATAGCCGTTGAAAAGGAGGGGCTCTACGGAAAAATCTCTCGGCGTTTGATGCAGCGGCGAAAGGCTGACGTGGCGATGCATATGCGGTGAGAGTAATCCAGCCATGACGGCTCACGAGATAGAGAAAACAGCTGTTGCTGCTCGGTGGCAATGCCCCACCGCACGAATTGTTCTATGTGCAGCAAGATGGATTTGAGAGAGTGGAGAGTGGACATACATACAGTAGATAAATGGCATACGCATTCCACTGAAGTCACACACTCGCAGCACATCGCGCGAAGTGGTACATTGGTGCTGTTTTGTTGGAGTTCTCATCGCCGCACCGTTAGTGGATTAGTAAATTTCGTATTAACTTCAGGTGCCTTTTCGGTTGACCTGGCAACACATGAAGGTTCAGGGTGGGTTTCTATCCCGTGTCAGACATCAAGTCATGCGGCCTTAGTCTCCAATTTGTCTCTTCCGAACTTCCAATCGCCCCCAAAACGAGCCACTTCGGGTCTTCCGAACCTCCACTTCGTGTCAAATATAATGTCTGACACGGGATAGAGACCCGCCCTCAGTTATAACCGATGTAAACTTCTCGTTTGAACAACTTAGCCAACTCGGGTCTGCCCATCTGGAACCCGGTCTGGCAGAAATGTGAACGGAGGATAACCTCTCCCCCCCTTCCTTCCTCCACCCACATAGGTTTCGAGCAGCAAGGCTAGAGAAAATATATTCTTGAAATTTGATTTCGGTCGGTGGTTGGGCGTTCAATCTGCCCTCAGCAATTTTTTCGGCTTTTTGTTCCAGCCCCGTATCAGTGGTGCGGAGGTGATTTCACCCCAAGAGGCCAAACCAGCGGTGCGGACCAATGCCTGGCGAGGAATTGGCGTGGAACAAACGGGCAGTTATCGTACAGTGTCACAAAAGTGCTGTTCTGCAGGTTTTCTCGGTTTACTTGATGCGCCCAGCTTCGGACAGTGCCCAACCTGAACCGACGCACCATTGGTGTGGATGGAAGAATCCGCGAAGGCCGTTTTTGGCCAAAAGAATTAGCGCCATTACAGTAACCCGAACCCGACGATGAAAACCCAAGACAGGGTAAGCTGACCTGAAATGGATACAAGGGCAGAAAGCTCCCCTTCAACCCAAGTTCGGCCAGGGCAGGTCACAAACCATTTTCTTGGCTCAAAACCGACCAGTCAGCAACTGACCTTCATGGCTGCCCAGCCACTTCTGTGATCCATAATCCCATCACGCACCTCAACTCCCGCCGACATTTCCGCAAACTGGCTTGATTTCGTTTTCTTTCAGTTTTGCCAAGAATCAGAGACAGACCGCCGCGTCGCCTTCTCCAGCTGTGCTTGCCTGTAGTCGTAAGCATGACTCTTAGACCCGGATGTGACTCTTGGTAATTTGCTCAAGCTTCGTACTACGTCCGTAGCTCTTGCCTGCCAGATACGACAAGCGTTCATGATGCACGCTGGTACAGCCTTGACCAGCGCTTACTCTCTTACAAGCCTTTTCTCTAAGCATTTTTAAGAGCAAATCGACAGTTTGACCTACTAACCCAGGGTTCACCGAAACACCACCGAAATCCCAAAAGCAGCCGTGAGAACGAATTCGACTCCCGCGAGGGTAACCCGTAGCTAGTGGCATGTGCGGGTAGTTGGCTAGGTCAGTCGGAGCCAGACGGAGCGGAAATCGGAGGGCGAATAGGAGACCCGATTTGAAAAGTCAGATTCGGAGGGCGAATTGGAGAAAGAGGAGTACTAGGAGGAGGTCGGATGCTGCGAGATGCAGCGAGTGCATTCGAATACGGCGCTGCCGCCCGGCGCAGATGACATCGAGCTCAAGGACGATCCGCTCATCGCGGCCGTCGCTGCTGCGACCGGCGCCTCGACGGCCCTGGGAGTTACGCCGCAGCGAACCCGCTCGTACACGAATGTGACAATATCGGGCGACACTGAGGCCGGTGAGTTTTCCAGCTTCCCGTTCGGGTAGAGGAAGTGCGAAGCGCGCCGTCCGGGCCTCCGTGGCACCTTCATGCCATGGCTTATGAGTGGACTCTGAGTCGACTCAAAAAGCTTCATGCTGCGGCCCGTCCAGCCGGTGCAACACGATTAGAGGTATTTGCAGTTTCCATGTGAACCATTTTGAAATTCCCGGCAACTCGAAAATACACCGAGTTGACAAAGCTTCGAGTTCACAAGGCTTGACGAGTCAAAGGTAGGGTCTGCTTGGACGAAACGCACCGTTATCAACCATCACCACCTCCACCTCCATCCCACAAGTTTCTTGCACACCATTGAACCAGGCTATTCAGCACGTAAAAAGCCTGGGGTTTCACGGCTTGCGGCTGTGTCACCTCATGCGCTGACTTCCACAACGACCCACCCTTTTCCACTTGACACTTCGGCTGAACCCTGTTTCTTTAAGTTTCTTCAAACGGGGCAGCGTGCCTCTTATCATGGCTTGCTCCTCAATTCATACTTTAACACTCAGAAGTTGTACCCCCTTCCCCATACTCCCCTTGCATTAACTGTCCTCTTGCAGCCTTCCAGTGCAGTCCCTACCTACATATCTTTCACCTATTCATCCTTCCTATTCACCTAAACCTCCTCTCATCCTCCTCTTCCCCGTGCCCGCTGCTTCCCTGCTCCTCCGCCCGCCCCCCTGTCAGTGCGCAAGTTCAGGAGGAGGCGGTCTGAATGCTCCTGCCCTCTCCACCAGATAGCCATCTCCGTTACTGTCTTCTCCTTTATGGCCTGGGTGAGCTGCTCGTCCTAGTTTTCTAACCTAACTGTGTTCCCCTTCCCTGCTCAAAATATCCTGGCCCATGTATGCCCCCATGCCGTGTGCCCCATGCCGTGTGCCCCATGCCCTGTGCCCCATGCCCTGTGCGCCATGGCTCATGCCCTGACGTGTCATCCATGCCCCACTCCCTTGCCCGATGTCCCGTGCCCCGTGACCCATGATGCATACTTCATGCCCCATGCCCACCATGTCTACCATGCCCACCAAGCCCCATGTCCCATGTCCACCATGCCTCATGTCCCATGCCCGCCATGCCCACCATGCCCCATGTTCCATGCCCCCATGCCCCATGCATGTGTACATTTCTTGCATGCAGGTGTCATACCTCTTTCTGACCAAGGACGAGTGACATGTCACACCACACACCAGTTTCTTGTGTGCCAAGGTTGACACAATGGGGAACACAAAACTTGGATCATTATTCGGTACAAGTGACACAATGGGGAACACAAAACTTGGAGCATTATTCGGTACAAGTGAACCATTTTAGTGAAAGTGAATAACGACATGCTAGAGTGCGGTGTTGGAATGGGACTCTGTTTTCGTGAACATCCTTCCTTTCTGGGTGTAGGTGTTACTGTACTTTATTTTTCTATTATCGTTGCCCATCGCTAACAGTTTATTATAAGGGGCTCGATTGATATCTATATTTTTACATGATGAATAGTAACAGGCACAGTGACAAGCACTCACATGTCAATCAAAAAGTGAAATGTGTATAATACGGTACAAAAGGCTGTACACAATTAGCACCTAATACACGGTACACAATCAGATTTACTCGAGCCGAATCGTTCCTCCACCGACCTATGTCCCCCGCTTCCGTCATTCCACCTTGCCCTTCCCCTTCGCGGGCATCGCCGCCACACTGCGGAACAGCCACTCCGCCATCTCTTCCCCCACCGCCGCCGCCAGCGCGCTCTTTACGAACCGCGACGGCGCGCGCCCCAGCAGCATCACGCGCTGCGACCAGTCCATGACCTGCGCGGCGAACAGGCGGTACAGCAGCCATGCGCTGTACCAAAAGGGCACGATGACGTGGCGCTGACGCAGCTCCGCGGCGCGCACGATGATGCGCGCGGCCTCAGGGGTGGATAGCATGGGCCACCACCAGGGAATGTGCGTCTGCCATTGGGGGGTTGGGAGGTAAGGGCGGGAAACAAGGATGTTTTTTTGAGTTTACTCAGAAGTCACCTCGGGGGTGGATAGCATGGGCCACCACCACCAGGAAATGTGCATCTGCCATTGGGGGGAACGGCGGGAATCACGCGGATTGAATCAAGGAGATAATGGATGGGGACGGGGGAAAGGGGGAAACAGGGGAAATGTGGGAATTTTTTTTTGTTGGGTGAATATCTCAGTTGACTCAATTGAAATCATGACTAGGTCGCGTGTGATAAGAGGTGCGAGGAATGGGGAGATTTGAGGCGATTTGTGCGGGCGTAGCGGGGGGTTACCACTGATTTGGTACAAGTGGCGAGTGCGGATCGACAGAGAAGGAGAGAGAGGGAAAAAAGGCAAGGGTGGGGTATGAGGAAACGCAGAGGCGTGAGCATGGAGATATTAAGAGCCGTGAGTGAGTGCAAAAGTGATGAACATCCCTCAGTCCCTCTCACAGTACGCCACGTCAGCGCGTGGGCGGCTAGCTCACTCACAGAGGCGTCAGCGCGGGAGGTGAGTTCTGAGTGCACGAAGCCGGGCATGGCGATGGTGATGGCCATTTCCTCTGGATGCACCTCCGCTCGCAG